TCACTAGACGTGTTTACATTCCCCGAGAGGCACTAGACGTGTTTACATTCCCGAGAGGCACTAGACGTGTTTACATTCCCTGAGAGGCACTAGACGTGTTTACATTCCCCGAGAGGCACTAGACGTGTTTACATTCCCGAGAGGCACTAGACGTGTTTACATTCCCCGAGAGGCACTAGACGTGTTTACATTCCCCGAGAGGCACTAGACGTGTTTACATTCCCTGAGAGCACTAGACGTGTTTACATTCCCGAGAGGCACTAGACGTGTTTACATTCCCCGAGAGGCACTAGACGTGTTTACATTCCCTGAGAGGCACTAGACGTGTTTACATTCCCCGAGAGGCACTAGACGTGTTTACATTCCCGAGAGGCACTAGACGTGTTTTACATTCCCGAGAGGCACTAGACGTGTTTACATTCCCCGAGAGGCACTAGACGTGTTTACATTCCCGAGAGGCACTAGACGTGTTTACATTCCCGAGAGGCACTAGACGTGTTTACTTTCCCCCGAGAGGCACTAGACGTGTTTACATTCCCTGAGAGGCACTAGACGTGTTTACATTCACCGAGAGGCACTAGACGTGTTTACATTCCCTGAGAGGCACTAGACGTGTTTACATTCCCCGAGAGGCACTAGACGTGTTTACATTCCCGAGAGGCACTAGACGTGTTTACATTCCCGAGAGGCACTAGACGTGTTTACATTCCCCGAGAGGCACTAGACGTGTTTACATTCCCCGAGAGGCACTAGACGTGTTTACATTCCCCGAGAGGCACTAGACGTGTTTACATTCCCTGAGAGGCACTAGACGTGTTTACATTCCCCGAGAGGCACTAGACGTGTTTACATTCCCGAGAGGCACTAGACGTGTTTACATTCCCGAGAGGCACTAGACGTGTTTACATTCCCGAGAGGCACTAGACGTGTTTACATTCCCCGAGAGGCACTAGACGTGTTTACATTCCCGAGAGGCACTAGACGTGTTTACATTCCCTGAGAGGCACTAGACGTGTTTACATTCCCCGAGAGGCACTAGACGTGTTTACATTCCCCGAGAGGCACTAGACGTGTTTACATTCCCCGAGAGGCACTAGACGTGTTTACATTCTCCGAGAGGCACTAGACGTGTTTACATTCCCCGAGAGGCACTAGACGTGTTTACATTCCCCGAGAGGCACTAGACGTGTTTACATTCCCCGAGAGGCACTAGACGTGTTTACATTCCCCGAGAGGCACTAGACGTGTTTACATTCCCCGAGAGGCACTAGACGTGTTTACATTCCCCGAGAGGCACTATACGTGTTTACATTCCCCGAGAGGCACTAGACGTGTTTACATTCCCCGAGAGATGGTTATAGTTGTCCTTCATCATTACATATGACCAGGGTGATAACTTGTTCCATCTTTTTTTGTTGTAATTTAGATCGATATTCAAAATTATATTTGATTCAAAAAGTCTATCCACCTATCATCACAGATTCTTCATCCTCTCCAGTGTCTCTCTCTACTCCACCCTCCTTCTCGGCTACATTTCTCCCAACCCTCCCATCAATTCTCTATATCTCTCCCTACCTTCCTCCTCTATATTCCTTTCCTCCCTCTCCATAACCCTCACCACACTTCCTTCTTTACACCATCCATTCCCTCTTCTTCATCCATCCCCACTCACCCTTCCTTTACACCCTCCATCACCTCCCTCCATCCCTCCCTCCATCACCTCTATCCCTCCCTCCATCACCTCCCACCCTCCCCAACATAAACATCACTCCCTTCCCTTCCCTCCCCATATCACTTTCGTGCTCAAAATAAGTCTGGCTTCAGTAAATCCTATTATAGTTTTTTTTTGTATTCGAAGGGATTTTGAAAACAAAGCAACTAACAAAAAAAAAATAATTCGGGTACAAACACATGTCAGTCAGTCCCGTCAAGCCGTCAATTAAATTATCATCATGATCCATTACATTATAAGTGGAGAGCACTGTTTGATTATATATATATATATATATATATATATATATATATATATATATATATATATATATATATATATATATATATTACAAAAAGGTTTAAGAGAAACACTGTTGATATAAAGATGGCATATACAGTACACGAGATGTGATACATGTCCAGTAAATATTGTTACATGTTTGTCACTGATTATAATGCGAAAATCTCATCCAGCTCTTCAGAACTGGGGCGCGTGCCCAAAATACAGCAGGCATTACTCCTCTGAACAGCAGCGCTGAGTCGCTGGAACAGAAAACTAGCTGCCCTGGGATCCCTAGTTATCCTGATGAGTCTTTTGCCTAGCTCCTTAAGGAACTTAGATGCACTCTTTCCCCATGAGCTAAGGGTACCTGAGCCAATGGGAACAAACATATAATGATGGGCAAGTTCTCCGTATTTTCTAGACTTTTGGAACTCCCTGAAGCTGGCGGCTGCTCCTCCTTCCTCCCTGGTGTATTGGAGATAGGTATCAGCCTATGGTGTGGGACTACATGTGTAGTCCCACACCACCTGCTTACCGTCTGTCCAGGCTTGAAGTGTGATACCATCTGGACGCTTCTGGCTGCCATCAGATCTGCATAGGTGGGGTGGCTCCCTTACTGCTGGGCATCTGGTTGTTGTGAGGCTCCTCTTGATGTTATAAACCTTCTCATGTCTTGCAATCTTTACCTCGGATTTACGGCACACAAGACCATGGTACCCGAATCGGTCTGCTGCTTCACTGCCACAAATACAGCTGTGTTCGGCGAGAATAGGGGCGGCAAGTCGAAGGGCAACACCAATGCGGATGGTCTGTGGGTCGAGCCGTGTGCCCAGGCTGGAGTTGGGAACAGTCAACAGAAAGTCCCCTGCACGATGAGCTCTCACTGCCAGGAGGTGGGCTCTATCCTTCCTCTGACACACTCTCGGGCCATCCCAGTGCGACTGTTTGTAGTTGTTGGGATATATATATATATAATATATATAATATATATATATATATATATATATATATATATATATATATATATATATATATATCAATGACAACACTGCGACTAGTCAAGGAGTCGAGCCAATGCTGCTTTGGCCTGCCTTAAGGTGGGCGAAAACTCAACGCCTTAATTCACGGGACCACACAGTCCTTAAGAGCAGCGCAGCCAGCAGAACTGGATATTGTCAAGGAGTCGAACCCAAAGCAGCATGAGTTCGACTCCTTGACTAGTCGCAGTGTTGTTATTGATCAATACCACTCGTTCGTGGGCACAATAATATATATTATATATCATATATATCCTTTATACAAATTTAATTCACTTATAGTTAATAATCTACTGTTCAACTATGAAATAATTACTGTCCTACTGTACAACTATGATAAAATCCTTAGTAGTCTGTAAGTCAATAATGTTAAGTTGGTCCATAATGCCTAGGCATAATAGAGGCTCTCTTTGCATTGCAACTCACTATTATAAATATAAAATCTCAATGTACTGTTTGTAAAGACAAAATAAATAAATAAATAAATAAATAAATAAATAAATATATATATATATATATATATATAATATATATATATATATATATATATATATATATATATATATATATATATATATATATATATATATATATTTATATATATATATATATATATATATATATATATATGTATATATATATATATATATATATATATATATATATATATAATATATATATATATATATGTCGTGCCGAATATGTAAAACTGGTCAGTTATCAAGAACTCATTTAAAATTAGGTTCTTTCTAAAAATTTCTCTTATACGTTGAAAGATATATTTTTTTCATTAATGTTAATGTAAAAAATTTTAATTTTGCACCAAAAGTATCTTAGAAAACTTACCTAACCTTATTATAACAAGAACAATTTATTTTAGCTTAACCCAACTAAATATAATTTAGATTTGTTTACAATAATTTAATACTAAACAAACACAGTGAAATACATTTTTTTCGTTAGGTTCAGAATTATTTTGGCGAAATTATTGCATACACAAATTTTCGTTTGTCCTATATGGCAAGATGAGCGTTGCTATTTAAGCCAAGATCGCAAGTTCTGCCTATTCGGCACGACTATATTATATATATATATATATATATATATTTATATATATATATATATATATATATATATATATTCTCCATGGGGAAGTGGAACAGAATTCTTCTCCTCGTAAGCCATGCGTGTTGTAAGAGGCGACTAAAATGCCGGGAGCAAGGGGCTAGTAACCTCTTCTCTGTATATATTACTAAATGTAAAAGGAGAAACTTTCGTTTTTCCTTTTGGGCCACCCCGCCTCGGTGGGATACGGCCGGTGTGTTGAATGAAAGAATATATATATATATATATATATATATATATATATATATATATATATATATATATATATATATATATAATATACCTATTGATGTATATACTGAGAATTACTCACCTGTTGTTATATATACTGCGAGTTACACACCTATTAATGCACATCTCCTTCCTTCTTACACGAGTCTATAGTTTAAGTGTTTTGTTTTGTGTGACTCGTGAACTGATGCTTCTGAGGCTTCGCTGGTGAAAAGTTTGAAATATTTGTTGAGTGGTCTGTTACCAGGGGATATCAGAATTTAGAAAGGACGTTGCTATTCACTTTATGTATCATGAAGTGGCTCATGTATTTTATTAAAAAAAAACTGTTGGAGATTTATTAGGTTTAGCAACTTATCGACTACACGAGGGTCATTAAGGCTTTATGTCACCTCTACACCACCAGTCAAGGATGCTTGAATCTCTACTGCAAAGAGTAAAATAAACTGTGACTTTGTGTATACTGAGATATACCTTGGTGCTCTTAACACTCATCAAGGGAGATATACTACTTGGAATATAGACAAACTGAATCTTCCTTCTCATCAGGGTATTTATAAAGCGTGAGCATTGATCGGTTCATGTAATTCAATGAACACGAGGGAAACTCAGACTCAAGTTGGCTGTCCACGACCAGACGACCATTAAAAAGGAAGGGTAAGGAGAGAGTGCAGAGTATAGATCACCATGGTGTTGCGAGCTTACGCTGTGACGATAGCTGTATTTCTTCTTGTTGTAGCCTGTGTGGTGATTGTATATGGTTCTTTAGGTACGTTTTTTATGTTCTTGGTGGATGTTTTGCGATGGTAGGAGTTAATTATATTTATTTAGTGGGAGGTCTTAAGTCTGTATTGCTTAGAATACCCTTAGATGAAAGTGGGCACTATTGTTGAATTAAAGGATGGTATGTCACTTAGTTCGCAGGATACTTACCTGCGTGACTTTAGAGATTCGCGGGTAGAAGTGTAGGTACTAGTTGACATATTATTATTATTATAATCAAAAAGAAGCGCTAAGCCACTAGTTGACATAGGTAAATAAACTACGATACTTTGACGCAGGTTATTAATGTTAGACAACGCTGATAATATTAAAAACTTAAACAAGATAACTCGCGTTGTCTTGTTGGAGAGTAATCATTCTTTCTGAAGTGTTTATCCAAAATTTCTCATACGCGATTGATTTGTCGTTAAAAATTTATTTGGTCTAATCCTTACAATTAGTTATTACATTAATGCCTAGCCTTTTTTGTATCCATATATTCTTGCGTTACCGTCCATAAGATGGGTCTGGGGTGTACAATAAACTAGCCACTTCAGTGGCAATCTAATCTCTGAAATTTGTGCTATTTATAAATGTACTACGTTACTTTAAGTAATTTAAGAAAGTGCGCTCTACTGTAATTGTTTTTTCGACATGGTTATTTACTTAGGTATTTTCGCTGTTTTATCTGGTAAGCATGTTTAGCTCCTTAAAATCCAGAAATAGTACTTTTCTCCTTGTTCCAGGTTATGCCAGCAGACTTCATTTTACAAACGTTTCTACGCATTCGGGGCCACAAAATCTCCAGCCAGTAAGTAAAGTTTAGCCGGATAAAATTCTTCAGTTTTGCTCGTAGAATGTGAATAACCAAAAAATGTGCATACTTTCTAAAACAAATATATTACGCACGCAATGTGGACACCTATCTTCAATACGGAGTACAAATTAGGCAAAGTAATTCGCATTAAAACTCTTGCGAAACCTCTAAAGGCTCGACGTTAAGTTACTTAAGAGACAGGCTGCACAAACAACTGAAGGTTCCTCTCGACTGAATGGGGCAGAAACAGAATTAAGTGAAACTTGTAGTAAATGAAGGTTCTTCTCCTTAGTGTTCTGTTCTCAGGGAGGCAGAAATAACCCCTGAAAGAACCTTAACCTCTATTTGAGGTTACCATTGCCACAGATGTTTTCTCTACACGAGGTGTGCCTAATAGATAACACTTCGAAGTGAAATACAAATGTCACAGATGGCATTACTTTTCCAGAATCTGGAGGAGGTACTTGGGACGCATTTCTCTAACTCTTCTCTAGTAGACCCTGAAAGTGCATTTAGCTAGACAAAGCTCTTCAGAAGTCTCGTAGTTTGAAGGAGATTGAACATAAACTAGAATACTCTTCCGTAGGATCACGAAGGCCTTGAAAATGCGTACGTTTCACTCTTAAATAGTGAACGAACCCTTTGTCGTCCCCGCGAGGACTACTGAAGGGACTCTTGATGTTCCCACGAGCTCGCATGAAATGTCTTCCCCCGTCCACCCAGGGATTTTCTTCCACTTCAAAACGACACTTCTCCCACGCCTCGGAGGGAGTTAATTTCTATTTGATTATAATAATAGGAGTGAGCAATTGTCACCATTACTGCTGTAAGAGTGTGGGGTGGTTCGGAGACCGGGGCCACTTTCTGGCCGTGGGCCAGAACCTGGGAAAAGTACTGTGGTGGCATCCTCTTCTCTTGTACTTTCTTACCTCCTGCCACTGCATCAAAAAGTATTTTTTTTTCTAGTTACCGTTATTGGTGAAGAGTGAACTGTCTTGCACTAGTGATTTTTGCGAAGTAATAACTCTTAATGGAAAATTTTAAGAAATTTTATCTATGCTTTAAACTGAATACTAGAACAAATTCAGCATAAAATTAGTATGGTTTTATTACTGATCAAGGAATTTGGTATTTTGGTTAACTGTAAACCTAACTACAGTAAGTCTAATTTTTCTTTAATGCATTTCCCATACTTTAGTGCAGACAACAGTGTAGTAACTATGAAGCCCCCAAGACTCTGCTAATACTCCGAAAGTGAACAACAAATTCTTGCTAATAGAAAGACTTAATATTCATTGCAGATTTGTGAGAATGAAATATTTTAATTACATTTAACTTCTTTGAAACAGCTTAGACACAATGAGCCCAAAATAAGTTTTTTTTCTCTACTAGATAGTAATTCTAAATTTCAGATTAATTTTTCTGTATCTTTAAAATTTATTCCCCCCAACCCCCTTTCGCATCTAAACTCCCTAAACATACTTTAACTTTTCTTAGGCACTGTATCAGGTCTGACAGGATACCCAATAACAATGCTAGAAAGTACTGTGAATTCTTAAGTTATCATGACACTGTAGTCAGGCGCTGCTGGGTCAGTTTACACTGACACCAGAGCCTGACTGTAGGAGGACACCACAACGTGGATGGCAATAAGTGGGACTCAAAAGGTGAAGGTGTCGGAAGTGCTCTACCACACCCATTACTCCAGTGGTTCCAGCTACGACGATATTGGTGTTATGGTCCTGGCCATCTCAGTCGTCCATTATGTCCTGCCTGTTTCTTTCCACGCCTGGTATGGTTTCTCTGCCCTACATATCAGTTAAAAAAAAAAAAAAAAAAAAGGCACAATACCGTAACTAGAACGATACACAAATAACCCGCACATAGAGAAGAGCTTACAACGACGTTTCGGTCCGACTTGTGACTTTGTAAATGGTCCAAGTCGGACCGAAACGTCGCTGCAAGCTCCTCTTCTATGTGTGGCTTATTTGTGTATCTCAAATTAGCCACAACGAAGCATAGAGGATAAAAAATTAGTTAAGTTTTAGCAATTCTGGTTTTGTGGGTTGGACTAGGTGTTCAGATCTTTAATCTTGCCTTATACATGGAAACTTTTCAGAAGTTTATTTCGTAGTATGTCTGCATAGAAAAGAAACAGAGTAAATTTTGGTCTCTTCTCGAATGAACTAGTTACCCCCCCCCCTCTATTGCTATAGCCCTTATGGGTTTGCTGCTTCTCGGTGTATATTTTCCTACTGCAAATTCAAAAATACAAAGCACTAGTAAAGCTTTCCACACCCTTCCTAGACACCATTCTAGTGTGAATGCCACAATCTGCTTGAAAGGCTGAAATGTGTATTGCGGTTAGTACTATTTGACTATTGAATCTTCAGGTTACTCTGCAAGGAGAGATTGGTGGTGGTGACTGGCTGGGTGAGGAACCAACTTCGAGGAAGGTCCCAGTAGCAGAGTGATAGTCAGTTCCTCTGCTGGTGTTGGAGCCGCTGCCTTATTCACATAGAATGGTTGCTGCTGCTGCTGCTGCTGCTGCTGCTGCTGCGGATGCTGCTGCGGATGCTGTTGCCGAGGCTAATGCTGCTGATTATCCTGCTGAGATGTTATTGCTGCGGTTAAGGCTGCTTCTGCTGAGGCTGTGGATGCTGCTGCTGATGCTGCAAGTAACTTTACCAGGAAAGTTTTTTCTAGTCTTTTTTCCTATACTGCTTTGACTTTTCCTTCTTCCGCTCAATCCTATTAAGTTCACCCACAGACTAGGAAAACTACTTTTGCTTATAAGAACGAGTTACCATTCTTTGAGCCTCCGCCTCCTGACCCTGTTTGGCAATGTTCTAACTTAGCAGTTCCCCTGAACTCCGGAAACTTAATTTTTTTATTTAAATATTTCTAGTTTATAATAATTTTTACTTTATTTCCCTCCCTCAACCCCCTCCATGATCTAGAAAGTCCCGAATACTTATTCACTAAAATTTGAGTTGCTTAGAATCTATCGTGTGTACAGTGAGCAAAGTGTGGAACAAATATACAGCTCAGTGGAAGTGAAGTGTTCATTATTTTTAATCTCCAACTGCAGTGCAGTTTCCAATTGCAGTCAAGATTTGGTCTGGTTAATATTATATGATCTGTGTAATTCTAAATGTATGCACTTGTATGTCGCACACCGGTATCTCTTCCAGAGTTTGTGTAACACACCGTGGAAGCTGTCAGTATTACTGCTTAAATAAAATATTAGGAAAGCTTAATTAACCTTGGATGTCCTGTTTATTTTTAGCTATATAAATACAACAAACTCGCCAGACAACTGCATGTTCTGCTGCTGCTCAGTTTTCATATTTCAGACTATTTGATTCGCCACCATTGTTCTCTGAAACAATAAATACTGTAGCAAATATCTGCAGCATCACTAGAGATAATTTAGTTCTCAAACTTGTTTTTTTTTTCTCTCTATTCCAGAGTGGGCCTCTAGTGTATAAGACAGATTTTGGAAGATGCTAACTGAACGGTGATGTTTCGAACCCTGGAATGTGTTGCGGTTCCAGGCAGTATACTAGTCTTCTACCTAGACGTCATAAAGGCTACAGTCGAGGCATATCCATAGTGGTGTCGAGCAGCTCCGGTGAACCACAAGCTTTGGCCTCCTGTATTTTAAGGATCAATTTTTTTCTTTACGCAATTAAGTCTGTTAAAACTATGCTACAACTTAAGGTACTTTTAATTTTATATATGCACCAGTAAATAGTTTTTTGTAAAAAAACTTATCTATTAAACTAGAAATGTCTTCTTAAAAACCTGTACAAATTTTAATGCTACGAGACAGGCAGTTCCATTTAAGACAACTCGAGGTAATTTTCAAGTCAACGTGTTTACTTCATAATTTAAAAGGTGTTCAAGACCTAGAGTGAACCTTACCAACGAGAATTTGGAGGGTTCAGTGTGTAGATAAATGGTTCAGAGAACAGACAAGTTGATAAATTAGACACGTGCAACACTCGGGTATCTTTAATGAGGAAACGTTTCGTCACACAGTGACTTCAAAGAAGAATGGTGAAGAACAGGAGTAGTTTGAGGTGATCAGTTCCTCGGCCTTGAGTTGATGTGGTCAGCCCATCAATCTTGAAAAAGAATACAGCAATATCTGCTGAGAAGTATTCTTTTCAAGATTGATGGACTGACTACATCAACTCAAGGGTGAGGAACTGATCACCTCATTCCTCCTGTTCTTCACCATTCTTCTTTGTATTGACTGATGGTCACTGTGTGGCGAAACGTTTCCTCATTAAAGATATCCAAGTGTTGCACATGTCTAATTTATCAGGGTTCAGTGTACGCTCTCCTGACACCTCCCCCTCCCTCCCACCCAACCGCTAAAACCTTGTACGTTAATTTACAGACTGACACACTCTTGTCCCTGCCATAACCTGCTTGCTGGTGTACCTTGTGGCTAGCAACCGATTGTGGAAGTTAACTTTTCCCCACTATTTACGCCTCTTCATAGTCATGGCTCTTATAATTTTTGGAATACCTGTAATCTCAAACTTCACATTGTCTGATATGAGTTTAGATAATGCTGGTTATTTTATCTTCTCTTTTTTAGTAGTTTTTGGGTTTTCCCGCATTTATTTCTTTAGTCTAGACCGGGGGTGGGTGGGGGCTCCCAATCTCTTGTATGCCCCGTTTCCCTGGGAACTAAATACAGTACTGCGGGTGAGTAAAGCTTACTCAAAATAAGCTTTTTAATTCTGTGCATAAAATGTAACTGTAAAATGAGCAATTAGAAAAGTTTTTGGTACAATAAACTGAATTTTTTTTTTCATTATAACTCTTCCTCGCCCCCTCCCCTCAAATGCCATCTCACACCCCTTCGGGTGTGCACCCCAGGATGAGGATATTTAAAGGCTCTCTACCCAATGTTTGTACATAAAGACGGTAAAAAATTCCCCCGGCAAAAGAAGTCATGAATGACTTGTCTTTCCTCTCTGTTCTTACTTCACTGACACTCCAGAATTGTCAAGTTGTTGCAGACTTCACACACTGAGGCTGGCTAAATGTAGTTAATTTTCTTGTTTGGAACAAGGTTATTACTGGCCCAGGTTCTGCCTGAGGCAACTTTGTGTAAAGTTAAGTTTTAGTGGTTTCATTATTCCATTTCGAGAGTACTTTTATGCTGGTGAAGAGCTCTTCGCCCAACTAAATGGAGGTCCCCTTGGATACATAATTACCTCCCAGACACTGAATGGCATACTTTCGTTCAGCACGTTCTTCTTGAAATGAACGACATTGTAATATCGCATGCTCTAATTGGCGTGAAGACTTGTAATTTTTTTTTCCCTGCCATGGAAAGACAAGCTAGCTACCAAGTAGGTCGTGAAGAGAGCACACTGAGCTTCCTTCGTGTACTCTTGGGGAGGGGAACTCTTCAAGTTTACTTTGAATTGTCTCCAGGTGAATGTAGATGGATCAGTCTCTTTGTATCTAACAACTGTTCATAATTTGCGGTCATGGGAAAGTGAAAATTCATAAAAAATAACATTCGCTCTCCAGAGCTCCGTCAACTTGATTGGACTCAACCCACAACCATTTAACTTTTATGCATAAATCGTGTATATATATATAATATAATATATATATATATATATATATATATATATATATATATATATATATAATATATATACACATATATATATATATACACATACATACACACACACACACACTTTGTAACGCATTTGTTCCTCTATGCCAGTGAGGGGGGACTGAACCTTTGTTCCTCTTGATCAAATCTGAATCTCCTTCCTTTAGGGACTGCATAACTCTCGCCCTCCTAAATTTAATATAATAATAATAATAATAATAATAATAATTAATCCCCCTCTTAAATGAAGTGGCTTTCATTTGCCATGTTTACATTCTGCTCTTCAGTCTTCCCTAACCCCCCCCCCCCAAGTTCTCTTGAAAAGATGCCTCTTAACTGAAGAGGATGAGCTTTGCTATTTTTCCCAGCGTCGAAGCTCTGGGTCAGCAACAGTCTCTATGGAACTGGTCTTGAAAGAGCGACCAGAAAAGCTTCTCCATGATCATGGTAATGTCACTGCAATAGATATTCCCTAATGTACTCTGGCTTTTCTCCGTCCTGCCTTAAGTGCAGATTCCATTTTTCTTCCCATGCCAGTTTGTCTTCCCTGAAATAGTATTAATTAGGACTGTCCACACAGGGTTGGATCATGTTCTGCGAATGTAAATTAATATCCTAACTAAAAATTATCTGGGTTTTAACCATATCCTTCAAGGCAGCACTCACGCGAGAGCTGTGCCCAGACTCCTCCAGAGTCAATGACCCAAACATTGAGTGATGTTGCTCTTGGAGCCCATGAAGTGGGTTGTATCATGAACATCTGCTTCAGGAGACTCAAATTAACAAGATCCCACTTAATGTGGACGACCCTCGTTAATTTAACACTCTTGCCATTTTATTAATTTCTCTTAAATTCTTGTGCCACTTGGCCCCCATTAGATTACCAGTTATCCTTTTGGAGTTGAACCCTTGTGTTAATATAACAAATGAAGACTGACACAGCTGCAGTGTTTCTTTCCTTCTCGAATTAGTCTTCATGACCCACACGGGTTAAGCGTTAAAAACATTTTTAATATAAAACCTAGTACAGACTATTGGAAACTACTACAGTAACACATAATAGGAGTCTCCTCCCTCCCCCCCCCACCCTTAAATACTAGTTGGTTCATATTTTCTAACCTTGAAGGGGCAGACGGAGGTGGAAAGTAACGATGCTAGTGATGGGCTCTTAATCAGAACCTGGGGACCTTTTCTGGGGCCTGGGGACCTTTTCTGGGGCACGGAGCTTTTCGGAGCCAGGGATCTGTAGTAATTTTTCCCCTCTTCTAAGACCTGACCCCTCCCTTCCCTCGTCATTCCATAGGAGCTACAAGATCCTATTTGTAAATATAACATTTCTGTATCAGATGTTCCCCTCAAGGGAGGTTCCTTGATGCTAGTGAGGGGCTCTTGATCTAGGAAATTGGATCTGTGCTCCGATTCCCTGAACAGTCTGAATACCTTCCATTCCCCCCACATGCGCTGTATAATCGTACGGGTTTAGCGCTCCCCATGATTATAATGCATCAGATGCTCTGACCTTCCCCCACCTTCCTTTTCCTCCACAGTCTGCACAACCCCCACAAGAAGTTAGCGCTTCACAGAAGTTAACACAGAGCAATAACACGGTTCGCTCTTTGCCTCGCTTGCCCCCTTCCCCCTCGGAAAAAAACTGCCATGGCTATCACCTGACAGCCGAGGAAGGGTGATGGTATAAATGAACCGAATCTAACCACCTTTGCATACATGTATGCATGCATATATGCATACGTATAAAAAAAATGAGAATATCACGGAACATCAAGGCTTTGAATTTTATTGAATTTTCTTTAAAGTGCAGTTTTTTCAGTAAAATTTATATTTTCCTACCTTATTAAACCTTATTAACCAACAGAGTAACATCGGGTGCTGATAGCAACAGGTCTACCCAGGCATGAGGGGATCTTGATCCAAGGAGCTAGACTTGTCCTTTGTTTCCTTAACTCTGACCTAAATGCGTTACCAGGCTCTGCATGATCCTTGAGAGTTTAGCTCTTCCCTGTGACCCTAATGAACAAGAAATACGAGACAACGTGGCGACGTTGCCTGCACTCGTACCCTGTGGCACTGACAGGCAACCCGCCTCCATCTTGCTTAGGAGAAAGTTCCTGCAAGTTTAATTGAAAATCAGTGAACCATTTTGAAATAAGTTCTACTTTAAAAAGCATCATTGCTCATTTAGCTGCCTTTTGTTATTGTGCATTTAATGGTATTTAACTCAAAAATTTAGTGAGTAGTACACAATTCTTTAGTCTACTAATTTTCCCGAAATGCATTTGCATGCTAGTGGCTTTTGTGCCTAACAGTTTTATTACTTAAATTACCTTTGTACATAAAAAAAAAAAACTGAATTTGCATATTGGCCATAAGACTGACCGTAACTCTTGCATGGGGTGGCGCCCGGCGCGTGCGAGCCTTTGCACAGTCTCAAGTTTCCAAGTCAATCATAATTTTTAAAGTCGTGGACCGATAAGCTAGCGGAAGGCCTCTGTCAGATGACCAAAAACTCCAGTGGCGGGTCATCATATGACTAAGAACTGCGTCAGGAAAAGCTTGTCCTGTTTCCTGACATGCCTCCCTACCTGTAGTAGGTTGGTAGACAGCAACCACCCAGGGAGGTACTACCGTCCTGCCAAGAGTGTAAAATGGAAACCTGTAATTGTTTTACATGATGGTAGGATTGCTGGTGTCTTTTGTCTGTCTGATAAATATGCAAGATTACAGGTACGTCTTGCTACTTCTACTTACACTTAGGTCACACTACACATACACGTACACGTTTATTTATACACACTCAGATGAGTTTTCTTTGATTTTATCTTGATAGTTAGTTTCTTATTACTTTTCCTTCTACATGAGGCCTGGTCACAGACCGGACCGCGGGGGCGTTGACCCCCGGAACTCTCTTCAGGTAAACTCCAGGTACCTCAAGTCAATTAACCCCTTTTCGATGAAGAGCACGTCCGATTAATATTCGACCTATTAAATTCCTGGGTGATCTCGCGTTACTTGCTCAACATGCGGAAAGATCTACTCCCGGATGCATTCTGATTGAAATGAATTTACTAATTCAGCTGCAGCTGCTTTTGTTACCATGTCAGATCCTTTACTACACTATTCTCCTTGTCTGTTTCTATCTCTCAGCGTTCGGCTACTTGTAAACCATTCGGGATGACCACATTTCGTGAATAATATAACAATCGCCCAATCTCTAACCCGCTCAACCCGGGAGATCAGACTCCACGAAGGGTAGCTCAGATGACCTGATCTCTGGCGCAGTATAACTCCTATAAGATTAGCGCTTCACAATGCATATAACGAGGTAGTGCAGTGGTGATCAGTCCAGCTTAGTGCATTGAATATATTCTGGCATCCATGTACGTATCATCTGTGCAACAAGGTGTCGTCTAGAATTCACGAGTCTGCACATTACATCTTTTGTATTAATGATTATTGCGTTCTGAGAAAGCAGTTTTTTTTCCTCTGGGACGCAGGACACTATGATCAGGACATTGAGCTCTGAGACTCCATTGTTCGCTCAGCTATTATAATCTCCCGCAAGTGCGCCTTTCTCGGGCTATTTTCCAGTCTCCTTCCTGCTTAGAAATCGCCAACAATGTTGACCTGAGTTAGAACACAAAGTTGCTTTCACTGAAACTTCAGTTGGGTTATGGGGCCGTCTGCTTCCCACTGCTGCTGGGTCTAGGAAACTCAATTTCCCCCCTCCCCGTTTTTTATTATTTTATTATCACACCGGCCGATTCCCACCAAGGCAGGGTGGCCCGAAAAAGAAAAACTTTCACCATCATTCACTCCATCACTGTCTTGCCAGAAGGGTGCTTTACACTACAGTTTTTAAACTGCAACATTAACACCCCTCCTTCAGAGTGCAGGCACTGTACTTCCCATCTCCAGGACTCAAGTCCGGCCTGCCGGTTTCCCTGAACCCCTTCATAAATGTTACTTTGCTCACACTCCAACAGCACGTCAAGTATTAAAAACCATTTGTCTCCATTCACTCCTATCAAACACGCTCACGCATGCCTGCTGGAAGTCCAAGCCCTCGCACACAAAACCTCCTTTACCCCCTCCCTCCAACCCTTCCTAGGCCGACCCCTACCCCGCCTTCCTTCCACTACAGACTGATACACTCTTGA